TCGGGGCGGGCGCTCACTTTATCAACATCACATGACGCACAATGGAGATGTTAGCTGTTCATCCATCAGATCCAAAGGGTGGCAGCTCAGCTGTCAGCCTGGCGTTCAGGAGGGAGGATGTGTGGTGAATACGGAAGATGTCCTCTCTTTGGAGGGCAGTGAGATGTGAAAGCGGCATTACAAGTGTGTGTGTGTGTGTGTGTGTGTGTGTGTGTGTATGTGTGTGTGTGCGCGCTTCTCTTCTCTGTTAACAGATAGTTTGATAATGAAAGTTCAATGATTTTCCTTTCTTGTTTAAGACGTCTGTTTCAGTGCTTTGTACTGGAATTTCTCAGGGTTCTCTGGGTCCTTTACAGGTATGGACCAGACTTAACATGAAAATAGTAGAAATGAAGTTTAACTATATTTTACCATCTATAAGAACTGGGTTCAGTTGTTCATTTTGCTAAGAAATGTAGTAGTAATGTAAGAAAATATCAATAAGGCAATATATTGTGATATTTTTTCCTGTGATATAACATCGATATTCAAAATCGTGGATCAAATTTTTGGAAGAATTTACATGCAAACATTTGTGTATTTTCTTTTCTTTTGGTGCAAGCCAAACCCTGACCACTAGTTGGCAGCAGTGTGCAGTGGTTTTTGTTTCCACCACTGAAATGTAAATCCCTCTGCAATGGTTCAGATACCTCATGTTAAACATGCTACTTATCAGTTTGGACTATTTATTGAATTTTCCTGCAATAAATTCAGTCTAAATATTCTTTAATATCGTCTGGCTGAATGTATCGCAATATATCGTGATACGTCGCATCGTCTCCCTGGTATCGTAGTATGTACCATATCGCCAGAATTTCACCAACACGCATCCCTAGACTTGTTATAAACCATTAGTTTCTTTTTTCACTTGCTTCTAGCTGCCTTTTACAAACGGAGAATTTAAAGGCATCGTTCAGCAAATTTTCAGTTTGTTATGAAATAAAAGTTTTTCCAAAAGGGTGGGCATGTGGTTAGCGATGGGTACCAAATTCGGTACTTTTTAAGGTACCGGCTGAATTCCATAGTACCGACTGAGCACCGATTCACGTCATTTGAAACGGTGCCTCGTTTCGGTACCCGTCCTTCATAACGAGAACTTGCCTAGACAGCTGCGCATGCGCAAGAGCGTTATGTCGTCGGTCGCTGTGAGCCAGTAGTAAACAGAGCAGCATGGTAGAAAGAACGCACGCTAAAGCTTGGGTCCACTTCACTAAATGTGATGGGTAACTGGGTGAAGATGAAACCAGCGACAACGATCTAAGTAGGGCTGCAACAAACGATTATTTGGATAATCGATTAATCGGATGGGATCTCGACACGATTAATCGATTAATCGGATTACATAGGGACATTTTTAAAAACTGCTAGGGAAACGTTATTTTTCTCCTTCCTTCACTTTATTAAACACAACATTATTAGAAAACAGTTCAATAGCAGAAAAACAACATGCCATCACCTAAATTGTCTTATAAGGTGTATAGACAGAGACCCTAAGCTACACCTATCTGTGACCTAAAATGCTTGGTCCAAGTTAAACAGCTTAAGGGCAATTCTCATCTGTTTTGTTTGATCTCATCTGTTGACATTTATTATAATTGGGGATGTCAAAAAACTAATTTTTAAATGTAATCAAACATAGGCTGTGAATTAATAAAAATTAATCAGTATTTCCAAAAATGACTGAAAAATACCAAATAAACCAAAAGTAAATGAATGCCATCCTCCTTGTGATTATGCCCTGGACAACTGCCATAAAGTCACATCAAGAAATGCTGCTGATCATTCCAATGATCCCAAATAGACTCACATTAGGCCACATGAAAGCAACTGAACCCAAAAATATATTAACCAGTATATAACTGCACTCTCACACAACACGCCTATAGCAACAGTTAGGACTCCTCCCTCCCTTTTAAAAGTGTTTCGCTTCTGAGGACATTGTGGTTGTAAAGCCACATGTTAGTAGTCTGGCCCCGGTGTGATCAACCAGTTTCTGCGGGAATGTGACGGCGGAACCGGTTCGCAGCGGCGCGAGTCCCCCCCCCCCCCCGCCTATCTAATAGCGTCGCGCTTAGAATTTTATAGACTTTTTTAAATGAGCTTAGGGCATGTCTAGCCTGTGTAATAATCCGGGGCTTGGGTGAATCACTTTTGAAAAGTTTTTAACTTACCCGGACACCGAGCTCTCTCCTTCCTCGCTGATGATTCTGACATGCTTGCGTTTAAGACGCTGCATCATCACCGTAGTATCCCCGTGCCAAGCTAAGTCTGACCTACAAAGATTGCATGTCTTCGCCTGATTTAACTGAAAATGCTCCCAAACTTTAGAAGTTTTTACTTTTTTGGGGTCTCGCTGCTTCTGCCATGTTCCTCTTACAAACACCTGCCGACTCTCCACCGGTCTGCGCGCAACGGCGGGCGGGAGGGGAGGGGGCTTTTGGAAGAGTTGAGCAACACAACGAATCGATGACGCAATTCGTTGCCAACGCTTTTAGTAATCGATTTTCATCGAATTTATCGATTCGTTGTTGCAGCCCTAGATCTAAGTGAGACATCCTTATCTTAATCTGCTCCAGTAGGTAAATAAAATGTTTAAGATAACGTTAGCTTGATATGTTAGCTTCCGTTCCGCTAACGGTGCGTTCGCTTTCTCCTCGGAACTCCGAATTTCCGACTAGAAGAACATGAGCGCACTCTAAAGTTTGGCTTCACTTTACTAAATGTGACGGGTGACTGGGTGAAGATGAAACCAGCGACAACGATCTAAGTGTAAGGCATCATTGTTTTAATCTGCTCCAGCAGCTAAATAAACTGTTTAAGATAACGTTAGCTTGATATGTTAGCTTCCATTGCCTCCATTGTTATCAGCTAATGGTGCGTTTGGTTTCTCTTCGGAAATTCTAACTTCCCAGTAGGAAAAATCAAATGAAAAAGGACGGCAAAAGGAATGAAGACACACAGTAAATTTAGTTCACAGTAAAGATGTTTGCTTCAGTTTAATTATCAGCTTATAAAACTACAAGGACGATGTTAAAATACAAACAGTTGTATGTTATTTATCGTGATATTTATCAAAAATGGTTATATATTGAGAAAAATATATATTTTATTATAAAAGAGAATTAAAATATTAAACACTCAAAAGTATCAAAAATTGGTACCGTTAAGTACCGGTATCGATTCCTAGGAACCGGGAATTAGTACCGAATCGATTCAAATGTCAAAGGTACCCATCCCTACATGTGGTGTCTAAACCTCAACAAGGATATTTCTGGCAGGTTGCAGGTAGGTAGTGACATCTACTAGATAGAATAAAACCAGTGTGTTATGATGCTGTGAAGCTGAAATCCTTTTTCCAGACAGCTAATAAACTCTATCCACTTGAGCTGCTGTCGTTTCAAAGCGTTTTCTTTGTTATAATTAATCAAAACGTCAACATTTCCAGTTGTATCATTTGGTTTTTTGCATTAATATAGTAACAAATGTTATTTGTTCTATACAACTGAGCGTCTATACGGTCAGAGTTTCTGCGTTTTCCTCCTAATGGATGAAGTTTGCTGGGGTTAGCAGAACCTCTGAGCCCCTTTTGGGGTTATTTTTGGAACGCAATCAAAGACAGAGAAAAAAAAACAAGAACACACTTGGGTTTAGTCCTCTTTTCTGCATTAATTAATTACATAAGCAGACACTTGTGTAATGTAGCTGAAATGATCTGTGTGCATGAAAGAGTCAAAGTGTCTTTATAGTGAGCTTTTGTGGTGCGCTGCTGCGGCGGTCGCCAGCAGGATGATGGGTATTCTTATAGACAGTCTGTGTGCACGAAAGACTCTGGGACAGAAAGTGTGTATTCAAGGGGTTTTATCTGGTGCTGATGAGTAAACAGGAAAGGATGGAGCTCTCAAATGATTTCCTTTTCCTCTTAAACTAAATATTTTTTGTTTCCATCCATCAGGGGGCGGATTAAAATTGTGCTTTTAAATTAAATGTGTTTTTAAATCAGAGGTCCGTGTACTTTTCCAAAGCGGTCGTCGTACCGATCTATAACGTGAATAGTGTGTGGCACATTTTTCCAGTTGGCTTAGGCTGTTCTAAGCTATGATTTGTGGCCAGACGATTGCACTGCAACTTTTTAAAGCCCAATGTTTTTTTGTAATTTTTTTAGTTTGTTGCAGGGAACCAGGAAAGATTGTGGCGAAAAATCCCTTCCATTAATTCACAGAAACTATGTGAACATTTAATCCCCTTTCAACCTCTTCCAGACTCGGTTTACCGCTACATGGACCTCGCGTTTTGACTGATTGCTGCCAGATCATAACTTTACACTGTCAAAATGCTTGGAAATGACTTTTATTCAAATAAAGTCAAAGCAGCCAAGCTGCAAAGAGATCATGTGGATCGTATTAAAGTCCAGTAGAGAACGGTGAGAGCTGGTTCCTGGTTAAACGCACTGAGATGATAATCACCCATTGCCTTTTGGAAGTGGTGGATAATGTTTTTGCCTGTGTGTTTATTTTTCCTCCAGCCTATTGGAATTTGCCCAATTCAAGATGGCTGCTGCAGCCAAGCTGAGCTCTTTCTGCACCTCCACTTTCTATCATCTATATCTAGACACCACACAACCTTCAGTTGGCTTCTGAAATGTTTACAGCATGTTTAGGAAGGTTAAGATGTTTGCAGACTAATTGATGTGAGGTAGGCCTGCAGGGTGACTCACACACACACACACACACACACACACACACACACACACACACACACACACACACACACACACACACACACACACACACACACACACACACACACACACACACACACACACACACGTGCGTTACAGTGTTGAAGCTCAGATGTAACATTGTGCAGCTATAATGTGAGGTTTCTTCTAACAACATTTTTTTCAGGGGTAGACGGTGTGTGTTTTAAATAGTGTTGTGTGATTGGCTTGTTTTGTCCTGTAGGGAGAGCTGCCTAACGCCCATCAGCCCGGAGTCTTGTCCCCTGGTCCAGGCCTTTTTGGCCGAGTGTCCCGGTCGTCTGTTCTTGGGTCACGTCCAAGCGCAGCTAAAGACGGGTCTTCAGACCCAGGAGAGACACCTCTTCCTCTTCAGCGACACTCTTCTGGTCGCTAAGGCCAAGTAGGTTCTTCTCTGCTGGTTCATAAAATTACGGGTAGTACAGGTGTGTGTTTATGTGGTTGTGTGTGTGTGTGTGTGTGTGTGTGTGTGTGTGTGTGTGTGTGTGTGTGTGTGTGTGTGTGTGTGTGTGTGTGTGTGTGTGTGTGTGTGTGTAAAATGGGAATTTCAGTGAGAAGTTTGTAACGTGTACAACATTCCTGCTATTTTCCCCAAACTGGTTTGAGCACCTAGTCTCATTTTTTTGTTCCTTTCTTTTTTCCAAGTCTCACTTTTCTCTGGTGTACAATTATTTCTAAACCAATTAGATCCATATGAATCCAGGCTGAGATCAAAGCTCCGCTCTGCCGCTTTAGGCCTGCAGGAAGGGGCTCTCCACCCACAAACTACAACATTCAAAAATACGGTCTCAAAGAGCATAGGGACATTTTTTAGATCCACACATGCACGTCCATAAATTACCATGTACTTATGTGCAAACCGTGCACACGAAGCCCTGAGTGCAGATGCAGCAGGATGTCTGCGGTGAGTCCTGGGAGTCATGTGCCAGCGGGTGGAGCTGACCCCAACAGCTCAGGCAGCGTTGCACACACTTTAACGTAGCATATTGTGGCCAAACACAGGCTGCATTAATGTGTGTGAGGCTGAGGGAGAAAATAAGGCTAGTGATGTGTGTGTGTGTGTGTGCACCTTTTTCTGCCTTTAAACTAGTATAATGTCAAAGAGATGTTTTATACAACACATGTGTACAACTGGGTCTCTGAGCTCTACAATTAGAGATTCATTCAGCATGTCTGCGTTAAACGTCTGACGAAGCAGAATCTCTTCATAGCTGTGTCTAAAGTGCCAGATGTTTTAGAAATATGTCTGTCAGGAAGGAAATCCCAGTTGGCTACTAGGAAAATATTTTTTCAAGCCTAAAAACAAAACTAAGCAAACAATCAGCTAAACAACTGATGTATTTTAACCGAAGATGGTTCTATGTGATTAAAACACTGTTACGCCCTACAGGGCTGATGAGCTAACAGCTAGGATCAAAGTACAACGCTGCTAAATTGTGTCAATGTAATATTTTTGTCAACAGGTAAAAATGAATTAAATAATCTTCAGATTGTATAATTTACGACTTTTACTGGTCGTATTTGTAGAGCCGCCCCAAAGTGCTGAACGCAGCAGTCATGAAAACAACAGCAGCTGATCTGAAGGCACCAACAAGAAGAAAACCTCTACAGAGCCACACTATAGTTGATAAATCCCTTTAAACCTCTTATTGTTGTGCAGGTCTCCCTCACATTTCAAAGCGAAAGCCCAGGTGAGAGTGTGTGAGATGTGGACGGCCAGCTGTATGGATGAGGTGTGTGAGGGAAGCACAAACCCAGAGAGGAGCTTCGTTATGGGCTGGCCCACCTGCAACTGTGTAGCCATGTTCAGGTACACACACACACACACACACACACACACACACACACACACACACACACACACACACACACACACACACACACACACACACACACACACACACACACACACACACACAACACAACACAACACACAACACACACACCACACACACACACCTGTTATATATTTGCTTTAGATGATCTTGTTTTGATCAGAGATCAGTAATTTAGTTTCCTGTCATGAAACCTGAACCGTGAACCTCCTCACCTTCTCCATCCACATTTTATCATTTATGGCAAGAAAAGTATAGATAAAATGCGTCTCTGATTTAGTCCGGCTGACCTCAGACAGAGAACACATTGTTCTGGCATCTAGGGATGGGTACTTTTGACATTTGAATCGATACTGTGCCAATTCCCGGTACCTACAAATCGATACTGGTACTTAACGGTACCAATTTTTGATACTTTTGCGTGTTTAATAATTATTTAAATCACTTTTTAAATTACACATATGTTATTTTTCCAATATATAACCATATTTGATAAATATCATGATACAACTGTTTGTATTTTTTCATCGTAGTGTTGTATAATATTGTTCATTATGAAAACCTTTGACAACGACTGTTTTTAAATTATGCAAAAACAAACCCAGCTCCATGTACTCCTAATCCTCTTCTACGCCCTCTGGAATAACTCTGATGAGGAGACCGTGTATTATGAACTACAAATGAAACTAATGCAAACATCGATACCGTACAACAGTTTGTATTATAATATTGTGGCGTTCCACAAACTAAACCCAGCTCCATGTACTCCTTTTCCTCTCCTTTCTCATCTGGACAAACCGTGTGATGGTGGGTCCTTGTAGTTTTATAAACTACAAATTACACTGATGCAAACATCTTTGCTGTGAACTAAATTTACTGTGTATCTTCGTTCCTTGTTGCCGTGTATCTTCGTTCCTTGTTGCCGTTCATTTTCAAACTGTTTATTGTTCCTACTCGGAAGTTGGAATTTCCGAGGAGACAGTGAACGCACCATTAGCTATGTAAAACAAAACTAAACTGTCAAGCTAACGTTATCTTAAACAGTTTTTTTAGCTGCTGGAGCAGATTAAGATGCCTCATCCTCAGATCTTTATCGCTGGTTTCATCATCACCCAACAGCCCATCGCAATTAGTGATGGGCTCAAACTTCAGAACTCTTCCTCTCTTTAATTACAGCTCGCCCACAGTGACTGACGACGTTACGCTCTTGCGCGTGGCACAAGTACCGAAACATGGTACTGTTTCATATGACATGAATCAGTACTCAGTCGGTATTATGGAAATCGGTCGGTGCCTTAAAAAGTATTGAATTCGGTACTCATCCCTGCTGGCGTCACAGGTTGGATCCTCAGTAGAACTGCAGAACCTCATCGACACAGCAGGCTTGAACGCGCAGCACAAATAAACAGTCGTACATGCCACGCTGTGTTTACACACCTGTCTCAGTGGCGCGCACACACACACACACACACACACACACACACACACACACACACACACACACACCTAGTTCCACTTTCTGTTATATGGAAGAGCTCTGTGGTTTGGATTAGCAGGTAAAGGAACCAGTGAATGAATGAATGAATTGTGTTTTCCTTTTTCTTCAGCTCTGAAGAGCTTAAAGACAAGTGGTTGGTGCTCATCAACGAGTAAGTCTTCCTGTTTCCATCAATGAACGAATGACAGAGTAAATAAACAAAAAATGAACTTGTGATCCCTTAAAGATGATGTTTTTTTTTACCACTCCACACTTTTCCTTTCATTTGACCAGTTTTCTCCTCGTTTTCTCCTCATGTTCAGTCGGATAATCGAGGGAAAACAGAAGGACGACCCCCAAACCGTGCCTCTGAAGATATTTGCCAAAGACATTGGAAACTGTGCCTATGTGTGTCTCTTTTTTTAGTTTTATAATGAGGCAGCCGCTGTACGGTGTCATATGTGACACATGACCAGATGTGTCTGCCATGTTTCTTCCAGGCCAAGACTCTTTCAGTCAGCAACGCCGACAGCACTGACGAGGTGATCCGGATGGCTCTGCAGCAGTTTGGCATTTCAGTAAGAAACCAACAACACTGTTATTGACGTTGGTGAATTGACAGGTTAAAGGGATTTATTGTCCTTTATTCCAGGGTTGTGTAAAAGACCACCGCTTGTGGGTGAGTTCCTGTAAGGATGAGCCTCCATACCCTCTCATAGGTGAGTTTCTCATTGAGTTAGCCTCAGAAATAAAGACTGTATAAAGAAGAACCATGAAGAGCTAAAGACAACATGAGTTAATTGAATAAAACCATCTTGTGGGGTCATTAAATAAACTCTTTTTTTTAGCAGTAGTACTAATTCCATAAAAGCCCACAGGCGGGCATCTCCTCTGAGTGAACCATCCAACATCTGGTAGTGTTTCAGAGCAGATGATTTTCCCTCACTGGTATTTCCCCCACATTCTTTCACCAACATCTTGTATTCTGTAATTCATGCAGGATTCCTGACAGTTCTTTGTATTAGTGATAGGGATGGGTACCTTTGACATTTGAATCTATTCGGTACTAATTCCCGGTACCTACGAATCGATACCGGTACTTAACGGTACCAATTTTCGATACTTTTGAGTGTTTCATATTTTAATTCTCTTTTATAATAAAATATATATTTTTCTCAATATATAACCATATTTGATAAATATCACGATAAATAACATTCAACTGTTTGTATTTTAACATCGTCCTTGTAGTTTTATAAGCTGATAATTAAACTGAAGCAAACATCTTTACTGTGAACTAAATTTACTGTGTATCTTCATTCCTTTTGCTGTCTTTTTTCATTTGATTTTTCTTACTGGGAAGTTAGAATTTCCGAGGAGAAAGTGAACGCACCATTAGCTGATAACAATGGGGGCAATGGAAGCTAACATATCAAGCTACTGTTATCTTAAACAGTTTATTTAGCTGCTGGAGCAGATTAAAACGATGATGCCTCACAATTAGATCGTTGTCGCTGGTTTCATCTTCACCCAATCACCCGTCGCATTTAGTAAAGTGAAGCCAAACTTTAGATCGCGTTCATGTTGTTCTAGTCGGAAATTCAGAGTTCCAAGGAGAAAGCGAACGCACCATTAGCAGAACGGAAGCTAACATATCAAGCTAACGTTATCTTAAACATTTTATTTACCTACCGGAGCAAATTAAGATGAGGATGTCTCACTTAGATCGTTGTCGCTGGTTTCATCATCACCCAGTTACCCATCACATTTAGTGAAGTGGACCCAAGCTTTAGCGTGCGTTCTTTCTACCATGCTGCTCTGTTTACAACTCGCTCGCAGCGATCGACGACATAACGCTCTTGCGCATGCGCGGCTGTCTAGGCAAGTTCTCGTTATGAAGGACGGGTACCGAAACGAGGCACCGTTTCAAATGACGTGAATCGGTGCTCAGTCGGTACTATGGAATTCAGTCGGTACCTTAAAAAGTATCGAATTCGGTACCCATTGCTAATGAGTGATAACTTATTGCCCCGTGCAGAAATGTTCTTTCTTCGTTTTAGTTCGATGTTCACCCTGTACATACCAATGTCCCCACCCCCACCCCCGACACCCTCTAACCTCAGTACCTTTGCCTTTTATTCAGGCCACGAGTTTCCCTTCAGCATCAAGATGAGCCACATTCGGGATGGTGGGAGCGGTGCTGGGCGAGCAGGGAGAGATCCGATGACTCCCACAGACTGCCCTGGAGTTCTGCTGCTGGACCAGTGTCTCCCTCCTGAGACCCAGTGTCAGTTCATCCTCAAACCCAACAAGGTTGTCCACGGACCTCCACAGCTCATAGGTAAGGGTGATTGTTTGGACTTCCAGTTAGAAGAAATTCTACACTTTTTGTTAAGTTTGTCCTCAAGTAGCCACCAGGTGCTGATGCATCAATAAAACATCAGTCTGGAGTTAAAATCAAATGGGAAGTATTGCAATTGCCAATTTTTGCATCCTCATTTGCCGCTATGTGTATCCCTACTGCTTCTGTACACACACACAAAACATGAATAAAACCATCCATTGGTTTTCTGTCAGTGTTTGTCAGGAGTCACATGGAGAGATGTTTGAAATAGTCCCTTATTGTTATGTCACATAAGTAAAATTAGCATAGAACCCTCCCCTCACGCCTGGGGAAGCTTCCACTCTGGATGTAGAGGAGCAGCGACTCCACTCCAAGCCCCTCCTGGACATCCAAGCCAGTGGCGTGCCCAGATCTTTTAAAATGGGGTGGCCCACGTGAGGCACTACTTGGGTGGCACCAATGGTTATGCATTTATTACTTTTTACCCCAAGCCTTTTGTGGACAATGACAAGCCTATTTAAAGGGAATTCAGTGTGGTGGCACCTGGGGTGGCCAATCAGATTCCAAGGGTGGCATTTGCTACCCCAGGCCATTCCCTGGACACGCCCCTGATCCAAGCTCCTCACCTCAGAGCACCTTAACCCCGATTTCACACTAAAAGCATCAGCAGCGCTAAACGGCAGTGGAACGGTTTACTCGTGAACTTTAAATTGGTCCTTTTTGCAACGGGAGAGTCTGGGCAGCGACACGGCTTCCTCGCTGTTCTCTTCGCTGGACTCGCGGTATCACAAGATCCCTCAAGACTTCAGGTCACAGTTTGTTCATGCAATCCGCCACTATTCACTATGTGAGGCACTTTGTGATTCTATGTCTGTGATGAGTGCTATATAAATAAAATGTACTTTACGTTTGATATCGCCGTTCAATGTCATATATGATGTTGTTCCTTTCCACTGCCAGGACATGAAAACACATTGCTGCACTTCTGGAACGATGCTGTGAGTAAAATAAGCCGTTAGGTCACACGTAAGCTTCACATATATGAAATCACATCGTTGCAGTGCTTTTATTTAGAAAATTACCGGGGATTTGACATTGAAACGGTGTGTGATTTCCTGTCTAGCGCTATGCTAACTGCGGAAATTGAGATGTCCTACAAGCGGCTCGTGGCAGAAATAGAACCTGATCCTATCTTTAGCGGCGCAGCGTGCCGCTTCTGGGACGCGGCTGGAAATAGCTGCGTCGCTGCTGGTTTGAAACCCTCCATAGACTATAATGGATTCTATTTGAAGCAGTGACACTGACGTTCCACGCCGCTGATGCTTTCAGTGTGAAACCGGGGTTAGGCCTGGTTCACGCGTCAAGATAATCTTGCCAATTTTTGCCCAGATTCTTCCCTTCCAACAATCTTAAGGAATTACATGATTATCCTAATGGCTCTACAGATAATCCTATCAGATATTCCTGCTGTGTGTGGTGCATTGAGGGTGCTTTGGTCTGCTTGGAGGGATGTTGGGGCCGCTCCGATCACAAATCAGGGGTATTCAACCTTGTTAGATTGTCTTGCTCTTCTCTAAAGTTCTGTTTGATCTCGAGGGGTTTTATGACATTTCTTGTCAAACCTGTGAGTGTGAGTGAAGTCCTTTAGTGTGTAGTTTTTGTTGTGTGTTCGCACACCACACACAGTGAGTGTGATTTTTTTTTATTGCCACGTGTGAGGTCTCAAGTTTTGAAAATTATCCGACAAATAAAAGTTCTGCTGTGTGGCCCAAGCAGGGTAAGGGTGGGCGTGGCCAGCTCCAGCTTGAAACGGCTCATTACGGAAGGTACTGAAACTGTCAAGTATAAAACAGCTGAAATTGTTTCATGTCAGATGGATTTAATGCCCAGAACTTCATAAACATGTTTTGTATCAACCACAGAGCAGTGCTTTGTTGTTGTTGCAGAGGTAGGCCTATAGTATGTTCCCTTTAAATAAAGCCTTGTGGGTAAAAGGCTCTGCCCAGTAAACCTTCTGCAATGAAAACTATTTCTGTTACATGAAAACTGACCAAAGTATCAATAAATGGAATTCTTTATGAAACCACAAACAATTATGACCACATAGAAGTTTAAAAACAGAAGAGAAAGTACTTTTCAGAAAGTGCTCTGCTTACATAATCTATTCTGCTCGTGTTGTCCTGAGAAGGAATCAACAGGTGGGCACAAAGCAAAAGGAGAACGGTGGGAAAGGAAGCGGGTGTTGGGACGAAGGCTGTTCAGAGGAAAGCAAAACATCAGACAATGAGGAAGAAAGCCCCAGAGGGGACAGACGAGTGTGAGAATAGGGAGATGGAAAGTGAAAAGAGATGACACAGCTATTGAGAAAGTCTGAAGGCCAGCAGAGGTGAAGGAAAAAGAAACAACTGACCTTGGGTGATAGAGAGAGAGGAATGTGTGGAGGCAGAAACTGAAAAGGGGACCACAAAAGTGAGCTGGATGGAGGGGGAACGAGATGATGGTGGACAGGAGCGAGGACATACAATGACCAGAATGGGGGGGTGGCATGAGCTTTGAAGAAAAACAAGTTGTGGAGAAGAAGTGTGTGTTTTCCAGTCGGGGAGGCTCCAGTTTGCCAACCACAAGCTTCTCCTCGGATTCTTTTACTTCAAGCATAGCAGCGAGTTACGTAACCTCTCAGTACCAGCCTCACGGCCACGGAGGGCTAATTGCTCACACCTGCGCAGAAAGCTAACGAACGTATGCGTTTGCTGGGTAGAAGCCAGACGAAGGCCCTTTTCAGGCGTTAGTTTTAACGAATCAGGCACAAAAACGGCTCTCAGTCTCAGTTTGGACCCCGAGTTCCTTTATTCTCCCATTGTAAATGTACGGTTTGCAATGAGCATACCAAGAATGGAACACGGCGTCCATGTTTTTGACAGAGACAGAAGGACACTGCACTCAGACCATGACCAATGTTGTTTATCCTCTGCTGGCTGTTGTTGTTACTTGGAGAGTTTTCAGGTTATTTTCTTTCTGTTGTTGGTATTTTCATAAAGTACAGAACATCTCTGAAGGTATTAGCTGCTCAGTCTGTGGTAGAAACAGCCTGGTGGGTGACACCACAAACCTCACCAATCACATATCATTAAAAAGCCATAAATGGCCTCAGGGCTTCATCTTTTGGAGCTGACTGATCCTGGTGGTGAGTCATTACACGTGGTTTATCTTGACGTTTATTTATGGGAGGATTGTTTAGACACTGTTCATGTTGGCTGTGCAGTGTGTGTGTGGTGAGATTTTTGTCTCGACCAGCCAAACTTGGTTTAATATTGCCTTTAAGAGAGTCCTGCAGTCTGTAATGTGTGTCTCCTAATGTAATTGATTATAAACCAACATGAATATTTTGGTCGATATCGATATCCATTGATTTTTCAACACTGGCGAGGCTCTGAAGATGGCGACTGTGTGACGCTGAAACTCAATTCAAGGTTAAAACTTTGCTACGCTGTGAATTAAGCAAGAAAAAAAACAGAGATATAAAAGAAACACAGAAAGAACATAACAAAGAATCAATATCCAATATTAAAGGAACACTTGACAGTTTTGGCTAGCTTTAGCACCCCTTTGTGTCCGTTTAGTAGAACCAAAAGCAAAACTTATGTCCTCACTGTGCGTTCATCTTTACAACACCTTAATCTAACGGCTGAAATGTCTCCCAGCCTTCATTAGTTTCTACAGAAGTGATTCTTCACTAAATCAAACAAATCAACTGTGTTCATGATCTAAAACGACGGTGGCACAGGAGTAAAGTGCTCGCCCCGTAATCGGAAGGTTGCAGGTTCGAGTCCCTGCTCAGTCTGTCGCTGTCGTTGTGTCCTTGGGCAAGACACTTAACGCACGTTGCCTGCTGGTGGTGGTCGGAGGGACCGGTGGCGCCTGTGCTCGGCAGCCTCGCCTCTGTCAGTGCGCCCCAGGGCAGCTGTGGCTGCATCGTAGCTCATCACCATCAGTGTGTGAATGTGTGTGTGAATGGGTGAATGACTGGTTGTGTTGTAAAGCACCTTGGGGGGTTCCAGGACTAGAAGGCGCTATATCAAATACAGGCCATTTACCATTTAAAACATGGAAGCAGACTGCACCCCCAGGCATGTCGGTCATTTTTGTCTAAGTCCAACAGGATGTGGCCTGCTACTCTGAAGTTGCAAGTGTGATATTCTGGCCACAGAAGGTGGTGGGGGTCTGAGTGACGTTCAGTGAACCCTGTAAATGGTCATTTTAGCACAAACTGGCACAAGAAAATGATTTAAAATATGAAAAAGCTTCTAAGTATCCCTTTAATGCTGCTGTCGTGGCCGATAACTGATACTCACCGATATATTATTTGTACCCTAAACCTGTGGCACCATGTAAAGCAACCACACACCCCCCACATGGCCTCTCTACCTCAGGTACACCCCCCCCCCCCACACACACACACACACACACACCACACACACACACACACACACACACACACACACACACACACACACACACACACACACACACACACACACACACACACACACACACACACACAATCGACATCATTATCACTGTGATGACACATAACCAATCAAATACTCTCCGGCTCTTTTTGTATTCGCTAGAGGCCATTTTTGAAGCGGGTTGACCATTAATGCTAACCAGACTTAGATGAGGAGCAACCATTCATGTGTTTCTAACTGCGAATGCTTTTCCTTCTGTAATGGTGTGAATATTAATTTAAGATTTAAATTAATAGCAAAGTTTATTTATTAAACAGAAGATTCAGTAAGATTCTTTTGATTCAATAAACTAGAAATGCAACCCTTTTCTGTGTTTCGTTTCAATAATGAGGCAAGTTTAGAAATGAAGAAATTTGTTTACTAACAATTTTAAACCGAAAGATTTGAAACGACAATCATAAAATGACAATTCATAGATGGCAGTTTTGATGACAATCCTTAACAGCTTTGATATTACTTGTTTAAAAG